GGGCCTTCTTCCCGCCGTCCCCCCCACCTTGGGAGCGATGGATTTTCGTGGGAAGAAGTACGAGAGGGGGAGCAACTGGTCGGACCCCGAGGTGGTGGAGCTGCTGCAGCTGTGGGCCGACGAGTCGGTGCAGGTGGAGCTGGAGAGCTGCCTGCGCAACCAGCACGTCTTCAACCACATCGCCGAGGTGCTGAGGGAGAAAGGCATCCACCGGACGGGCGACCAGTGCCGGGAGAAGATCAAGAAGATGAAGCTGGAGTACCGACGGATCAAGGATAACAGCAAAGCCCCGCGGGGCCGACGGAGCTGGAAGTTCTACGAGGTGATGGACAGGGTGCTGACCAGCCGGCCCACCTTGGCCTACGGCTCCCTGAGCGGTGGGGTGATGGCCCAGCAGGTGCTGCAAGGAGGCATGGTGGAGGGCTACCACCACCAGTTCCCCCCCTCGGCCCTGCCCTTCGAACACTCCCAGCACCCCGAGCTGATGGAGATCAAATGCGAGGAGGTGAACTCCGACGAGCACTGCTTGACCCCCGAGCCCCCGCCGCCCGTGTCTTACCAGCAGGGCTCCCCTGAAGAGCACGAGATGGAGAGAGCCTTCTTGGAGAGGGCCCAGAACGACTCTCCCATCTCCAGGGTGGAGATTCCCACTGAAACCAGTGTTTCACCTTCAGGTAGGGATAGCCTTTTACGTTCCGGCGTAAGGTTTCTGCCCGGTTCCCCAAAAAGAGAGGTGATTTCTGGTGCTGAGGTAGACACCTGGTTTTCACACTGACGTCTGGATCCTTATTTTAACACGCCCCCAAAAGCTTTGAAGTAGAAGGCTGGTATCTGCATTCATGGTCTTCTGGTCGTTCCTGTGAATGTATCTTGCAGCAGGGAAATAAAATCTAAAAGTACTGTGTTAGGCTCAATACTGTGTATGGAACCCAAAGGGCTGGGACATCTGCTGTCAGCCAGGCGAGGTGTTTGTGCTAGATTTCTGCATATAAAGCTGACAGTACTTAGTGAAAAAAAACAAAACCCCAAGAGCATTTTTTTTTGGTCTCATTTGAGCATCACCAGGGCTGTCTGTGGTCCTCATGCTGAATTGCATCAGGAGACCCTCTCCTGCCATGGCCACGCTATAAACCTGCAGGTGAAACTTCCCTTGCGTTCTTTCAAGGTGTTTCCCAGATCTAATCTTTTAGGAGGCTCGGCAAGGAAGAATACTTGGGAATAATCACTACCTGGCTTTCTGAGCTATGCGTTAGGACTTGGAAAGAAGATGGTTTTGAAAGTCACTGGCAGGAACATCTAGATTTGCAGGAGATGAGACTCTGACAGCGCAGTGTGGCCGTTGCTTGGCTGCTGCGAAGGGCAGGGTCAGGAAATTGGGGGGATTTCAAACTGATCTAGACCAGGTTGATGGAGGAGCACGGCACGATTGGAAAGAAGAGAGAGGCAACCCAGTGTGAGGTTGACGTCAAGAGGTCAGGACGAAATGCTGTGTTCTCTTCACCAGGGTGGTTGCTCACTTAGCGTGAATGAAATGGATGAAATGCTGTGTTCTCTTCACCGTGGTGGTTGCTCACTTAGCCCCATGGAGGGAATCGACAATCATTAATCAGAGGCTGAGGAGGGAGCTAGGGCTGGGGCTGGCAGCGTAATGGGGTGCCTGGTGTGTGAAGTTAAAAACAAACTTCCAACTAACATGAGATGTACATGAGAGGTTCTACTTGGGTTTTCCCTAAAACCCTGCAGCGGGTCAAAGGACATGAAGTAGGAAGGGCAGGGGAAGGCAGCGCAGCGTGTCCACGCCACTTCACTTGCCCTGTGTTTAATTCCTCTCCCTTCTCTTTACGGATTCACAGGTTTCAGCGAGCCCAACATGGCAAACTCCTCCCAGATCCAGAACGTGGTTCCCCGGCCCGGCTTGTCCGCCTTGCATCGGCTGAGAAAAAAGCGGAAAGGCCAACGGGTGAGGGACCCGCTGGACGATCTCCTGCTGAAGACCCTGACCTCTCAGCGGGCCATGGAAGAGCGCTTTCTGCAGATGGAAGAGCGCCGGTTCCAGCGGGATTTGGAGGTGGAGGAGCGTCGGATGCAACTGGAGCAGCGCCGCTTCGAGCTGGAGCGGGAGCACGAGTTCCGCATGTTCAACGTCTTCACTCAGATGCTCAGCATCCTCAAGCAGAGCTCCTCCTCCTCCTCTTCCTCCTCCGTCGCGGTGCCTCGGGGCTTGGACTTCAACCAGGCGCTCTCTGAGATTGCAGGAATGGCAGGAGGAGGAGGAAGAGACCTGAAAGGGACCAGGGCTCGGCTGCTGGGCGAGAGGAGGGTTGACATGCATGGCTTCTGTCAGCCCAGCGACTTCCAGAGGAGCCCCTACCTCTCTGCTCGCGGCAACGTCGCCAGTATTTTCCGTGGCTCCACGGAGGAAGGGTACAAAGCTTATCACGCCGACAAGTACGATGAAGACAAGAACCCTAACGTGAGTGAGAACCTCAAGGTGTTTTCCTGGTGTTCTTGCTAGGGACAAAAAAAATAAAACACCTTTATCTTTGAGGTTTGCCAACAGGTACGCTAAGAGCGCGGGGTGGTTGTTTGGATCGGCGGGTGACGCTGCTTGTTTGAGGAAAAGAAATAAAAAGTAGCTTTGCAGAGCATCTGTGTATCAAAGGTGAAGGCTGCGTTCAGCCCAGGTTTGCACCCTGTGATTTCTCTATCGGGGAAATAGCAGCCGTAGACTTTGAAAAATAGAATAAATTTGCAGGAAGAGAGCTCCTCTTCCTCCTTTTACCCCGTCTCCTCTGTTGCCCGCGGAAGACCATCTCAGATTATCTGATGATACCTAATTATGGCAGGTGGTGGGTGCAGGAGGTACAACAACTAAGTGGTAGACCTCTTCTTTTCTTTTTTTTTTCAAATTACTTTTAACTAAGGCTCAGCACTGCCTGTGAGTAGCTCATCATACCCCCCTTGTGGCGCAAAGGCTGAGTCTTCCTACTTCACGGCAAATCATTACGGAGCAACAAGTGTAGTAAATAAAAATCATGATTTATATGCAGATGGACTTTTAAATAGATCCCACATTCGGATTCTGACCTACTTGAAACTTTGAAAATATTTTATTATTAGCCCTGGCTTTAGTCACACTGTGTTGGGAGGTGAAAACGAGATTTTTAAGATAGAAGGAAACATTAAAGTTGTGATACAAGGTGGATTATAAAGCACAAACTGCCTCTTGTACCAGCTGTTGTCTATGTAGGAGGCAGCTCTGCAAACAAATGCCTAAAATTGGGCTTCTGCTTTAGTGACATCTTAAATGTACAGTTGCTTAGATTTCCTTTTGCGTTTTTATAAATGGATTTACCCAATGTCTTCCAATAATGAAAATGTGCTTGTAGGTTTGAACTCTTCAAGGTCTACTGTGGTGCTAAATTAGCAGGGCCAGGTCCTGAACCTGGAACTGGAGGGTCCTCTCTCCTGAGGGGAAACATTTAGTCTTTTTAACCACTTTTTCGTGACTGCGTGTTTATGTGGTTTCTGAGCAAATCAGCGGAGTGGAATGGTAAGGACTGATAAAAAAATGCTTTTGGATGAAGAAATGTATCCAAAAGTTTGATTAGAACTGCTGCAGAAGGGTAAACTGCCATTTTCTCAGAGTTGGTTAAATTATTTTTTTTGTAGTTAGATCCATACCAGCAAGTGAGTTCAAGATGAAGTTAAACATATCATGTAAAGAAGCATAAATCATTAGTACATATTCATTTATAAGAAGCCTGGGATATAGATGTAAACACACAAAAGACACGCACAGTGTCTCGAGTTATATATGGTGAAGTTAATGTGAACTGTATTTTGACTTTCCCTTGCTAAGCTTTTTGGAGGCAATTTAGTGAAGTGATGGCTAAGGGGAGGCATGCACATGTTTTATGTGTCTATAAATAATTATTTTATTTTATTTTTTCCTAGGGCATAATAAACTTTGGCACCAGTGAGAATAAACTCTGCTTTGACCTGATGTCTAAGCGGGTGAGTCCTATCCCAAAAAGAAAAAAAATACTGTATTTGCTGTGTAATTCCTCCTTAGTGCTTGCCCTTTCCTAGGGTTATTGCTGTTGCTCAGGTTTCTCTGGTTTTCATCCTGATTTTTATTTTTTTTTAATTTGTTGGAAGTAACTTTTGATTCCAGCTATTTGTACATTTATTGATGCTTTTTTTCCAGGAGGGTAGGAACAAGGGTGTTTTTCTGTTCCTCTTCACAATGGGGTTTGTTTCCCTTTGGGGGAGGTACTTGGCTCGGAAAACCGCATGAAAATAAGATGCATTTCATTAGCTCTTGCTGACAGCAGTTGATTCTATTTCATTTCAAGGATCTTCACAGCTGTCCCTTATAAAGTCACACAATTGGGACACCTGGTTCTGAGTTCACCTGGAAGGTGTGAGGATGAAATCTCTCAAAATCAGAGCGGGTTGGCTGCTGCCAGCGCCGCCAGGGAGAGGCATGAAACTGTTCCACTCAAAAATGAGTAAAAAGTCAAAAAAAACCCCAACAGAACCGTGCCGTAGAGGAATGTTTCTTTGATTTTTTCCTTAAAACCCCTGCCCTGGTGCAGCCCGGGGGGGGCGGGCAGGCGGTGGTATCTCCTGCCTGAAGCTGCCTGCGGGGAGGGAAAGGGGGCTCAGGCTGGGCCAGTCGGTCTCTGCGGTTTTGAAGTGCGTGGTTGCTCCCTTTCCAACCGGTTCCCAGCCTCAAAATGTTCCTTGTTTTATTTCTGCCTGCCACTCCACTGCCTCGGGGGGACGCTACCCCGCCGCTCCGCCTTCCAGCTAAAAGAACAGGTAAGGCAGAGCTGCCACCTAGCACGGAAAAAGGTGCCTTTCGAGGTGGTACCTTCCTTCCTTCGCTGTCCTTTCCCCTTCAAACTAACCCCAGGAGTGCAGGGGGAGGTGGTAGTCAGCCACGCGGTCTCAATTAGGCTTATTATGAAAACGAGTGAAGGCTTTGTGGGCTGTAGTGAGAGGAGGAGGAGATGGTTGCCAGCTTCTCAGTGGTGGCAGCCCTGTGGATGCACCAGCTGGGATTGCAGGCAAATAATTAGTTGGGGCAATAACTGCTTAACTCTTTCTGCTGAGTAAAAGCAACGTATCAGATTCCTGTCTTCAACTTTTGACCCCTAAACTAGAGAATATTTTGTGGCGTGAGATCTCGGTTGGTCTTCCTTTCGTTTGGCCCATCTGGTTTCCTTCACCCTTAATGAATTACTTTTAAGGGTTATCCTCTTTATTATTGTATAGTCCTTTCTGGCCACGTCTGCTGATGTGTTTTATGTTGCATTCTCTAGAGAAGTTTTAGGAGAGAGATCTAAGGAGGCACAGTTCTGTGCTACGTAGGCTTCAAGAACATCTACAGCTGACTAAAGGAACTTTAATCCTTTAATACCAGGTTGTAATTCTGCATGGGATAAGGACAGTGTCTTTAAACTCCAGAGCTTGGCACCAGTTATTAAAACACCGATGCAGAGTGTTGTGGTTTTGTTATTATGTGAGAAACTTTCACGCTGCATGTTGAATTCCCCTTCTTCCCTGCACTATCACCTACTTGTTGTGTCTCCCCACTCTCACCTTTTTTTTTTAATATTAACTCATAGATTTGGTTGCTGTGAAATATTTGGAAGGTATATTGTACATAATATTCGTTTATTCCCTTTTTGTTAATGTAAAATGTCCTCTCTGCTTGTATCACCACCGTGCTTTCCCTTCCAACTTCATAGAACTGGATTATGTGAAACCCTGATACTTACAACCTCAAAAATATTTAGCTAAAAGTAGTGCGGTCACTTTATCTAAATATAAGCATTAAGAAGGGCTCCACAGTTCAGGTGAATCTGTCTTGGAGATCAGAATTAACTCTTAATAAGGAACAAAGTGCCTGCCTCGGGGAAGAATTATCAAGAAGATAATTTCATTTTTCTTCTCTCTTTTGAAAGCTCCCGTTACGCTTTAACACTTATCAAAACTTATCAGAATTATAGATCTGAAGGAGCTGCAGTAACTTGGAACTGAGGCATAAATGAAAGCTAAAAATCGTTTAAAAATAAACCTATCACAGGTTTATTAGAGAAAATAGTGACTGTGATTCAAAATCCTTCCTGTCTCTTTCCGACAGGCTAGACCTGAGCTTTCACAATTGGGACTTGCTTCCTGTGGTCCTCAGGGCTTGGCCAAGGCGCTCCTTGGGCCCCTTTGGGTTGCCTCATTGGCTGAGAAAGTCTTCTGGAGGCAGCTTGGTTACGGGCATCGTGTGTGTTGCCCGTTCTGCCTCCTCCTTGTAGATCTCCCCAGCGAAGTTTTGGCTGCGATAACTCAACAGGAGCCTGTAGTCACTCAAACCAGAGTTATCGCTGAGCCGTTTGCTGACCCTTTGCTTCTCCAAGCTGCAGTCCTGTTTTTTTTTTGGTGGTCGGTGGCTTTCTCAATCCAGTTTTAGAGCTGTTGAAGTCGCACATGTGTGTGTGTGTGTGTGTAGGTACGTGCCTGCACGTGGATCCCATCCATCTCCGTGTTTCCCATCTCTGTGATTGTGCTTTTAATGGTTCTTCTGCTTGCTCCCAGCTGACACAGACCGATATGAATCTGATGGAGCCTCCCCTGCTTCAGTATCCAGACTGGAAGGGACACATGTTGTAAGTCTTCTCTTTTCTCTAATTCTTCCTTTTCTGACTCTTTCTCTGACGAGCAGAATGGAGGAATGTAAACTGCTTCTGCTACACTCACTACTCAAAAGTTTTCTAGCCCGTTTAATCATCCTTCTCATTGCAAAACTGTAAATTAGCTGCCCCGCCAAAATCCTTTTCTGTGAGGGAAGGTGTGAGTTTTCTAAAGTAAACACAGTTTTCAAAGCACTGTGTACATTCACAAATCGGGTAACTCCAAGCGGTTCTTTGAAACAGCCTGGGGACTTTAATCCTGTTCTTCTGTGCCTTGATTAAATAGAATCATAGAATCTCATCAGAATCTCATCAGAAATCTCATCAGAAATGTTCTAGACGTTCTCCGTGACGCCTTTGCCCTGTGTAAAAGTCATGTCTGTGGCACGGGCCTGAGCTATCCTCTTATTCTAGCTGTTTTCACCGGACTTTGCTGTTGCCCTGGCTTTATTTTCCCGAGACGTGGAGCTGGGGGAAGCCCAGCCTCTTGCAGAATAAGCTGAATCAATATTTGCTTTTGTGTCTTTCTCAGTTTACGGGAGGAAGTGGCTCGATTTTTGACCTATTACTGCAAGGCCCCTGCACCTCTTAAGGCAGAAAATGTGGGTAACCCACTTTCCATTGGTGTTTTTTTCGAATGTATTGCCGTTTGTTGTCAAACACTTTCATCCTTTTTTTTTTTTTTTAATTTAAAAACAAATGATTTAGTACGATGACAGCCTTTTATCATGTGAATGAGCTTGATTCATAGCCATTTCAGCAGCTTTTGATGCACGTTTGGGCCCAAATGCTTCAGGTTTCTTGTATATTTGCGTCGTGCTGTGCTTTTGCTAGTGCTCTCGGCGGGGCTTTGTGTTGTCACCTCCTCCTTCAGCTCCAGGACCTACTGTGCCTGTCCAGCCACCCAGCCTCCACAAAGAGCACCCAGTGTTTCAGTCAAGCTTAGTTTCATCCCGTTCTGCTCTTACCTCTCAGGGCAAAAATCTGTAATTAAGCCAAGAGGTGGTTTAGTCTGTGCAAACAGACCCTTTCCAGGCTTTGCAGCAGTGATGTCAGGAAGGTATCAAGCCCCTGGGTCTCTGCAGGACTTGCTGGCTTGGGAGGGATGCAGGGACTGGGGACCCCTGGCTCTGCTGAGGGCAGGGGGAGCTGGTGCAGCAAAATGGTTTTTTTTGGCTGCAATAATTCAGCAAAAACCCCTCTTTCACAAGGCAAAGTTACCAGCAATCACTTTGCTGGTCCCTGCTCCTCCAAGGCAGCAGGTTCTGCCTGATACTTGGATGGAAACTCTTCTACAAGGAGTCAAACCCGCTCCTTTATGAGATGGTGTTTTCCACTTCTGTCCAAATTCAGCAGAAGGTCAGATAACACGTATTAGGTGATGAAAAGGAGTTTGCTTTTCTAGCAGTTCAGAACTGCTCCCCAGTTTTTTCTCTACTTTCAAGCCTACTCTTTTTCTGAAGTGCTTGTTAGAATCAAGAACGGCGCTGGGACAAAGGGTCTCTGAAACAAAGAACAGGACTAAAAGTATTTCTGGTAAAAGTGGGATTTTGGCAGGAAAAATCTGGGGATGTCCATGCTAGGGAATTGGGGAGAAAATATATGCCAGTGCTATGGTCAAAAATGATTATTTTATAGCGTTGTCTTGCTATGGATGGATTTATCACTGGCCTCTCTCTTTCTTCTGTAGGTGATTGTTTTAAATGGCTGTGGCTCGCTGTTTTCTGCGTTAGCTACAGTCCTTTGTGATCCAGGGGGTAAGTGGATGGTTGGAAGATGTTTTTTAATGTTCGTTTTTGCTGGTAAATAAGGTGTTACTCCATTGAAATACCGTTTGATGGGAATGAAGGAGCGGAATTGACATCGGCCTGTTGGAAACTTTTTGTTTGCTGCGCGATGGGCCCAGACCAACGGGATGAGGTTAAACAAGGCCAAGTGCAAGGTCCTGCCA